GCATCTCCAGAGGATGCCTGGCCAGCTCACATCCAAGTTCAAGCAGCCCAAGAAGTATTTTCAGCCAGAGGACAGGAGAGGTGGCAGCCAGGAAACGTGTGGAGGGGGTGCAGACAGAGCAGTGCACAGCACATAAGGGTTGGGATGGGGAAAAGGAGGAGGTGGTAAAACAGCATAAGCTTTTCCTCTGTCCTCGGAAGCAGCTGTTGCCAAGGCCAAAGCCAGTGAGAAGCAGAGAGAAAAAATGACCCTTCCCTGGTTGTTTCCTGCTTAAAATCAGAAAGATGGAGAAATGCGGAGGTGATGAGCCAGGGTAGATGCAGCCCTCACTGCCAGGGCTGACGTGTGCTCTGCTGATGTGCCAGACAATCTCTGTATCCCTTACACACAGAAAACTGCAGGACTATGTAAGTTAGCGTACACATAGCCTCCTTTAACTTAGCACCTGCCTTCTTGCAATTCAGCTGCATTTCCTGCCACACCACACCAAAACCGAAGATTAAATTCTACATAATTCTACAAGTGCCAAGTCCTGCCCTTGGGTCACACCAACCCCCTGCAGCGCTCCAGGCTGGGGGCAGAGTGGCTGGAGCTGCCTGGCAGAAAAGGACCTGGGGATGTTGGTCGCCTGTGGGCTGAACAGGAGCCAGCAGTGTGCCCAGGTGGCCAAGAAGGCCACCAGCATCCTGGCCTGTGTCAGGAACAGTGTGGCGAGTAGGGCCCGAGAGGTGATTGTCCCCCTGTACTGGGCACTGGTGAGGCCCCACCTCGAGGGCTGTGTCCAGTTTTGGGCCCCCTACCATAAAAAAGACATTGAGGTGCTGGAGCGGGTCCAGAGAAGGGCGACAAAGATGGTGAGGGGTCTGGAGAATAAGTCTTATGAGGAGAGGCTGAGGGAGCTGGGGGTGTTCAGCCTGGAGAAGAGGAGGCTGAGGGGAGACCTTATTGCTAGGGTTATCAGGCATTGGAATGGGCTGCCCAGGGAGGTGGTTGAGGCACCATCCCTGGAGGTGTTCAAAAGACGGGTTGATGTAGTGCTGGGAGGTCTGGTTTAGTGATGGTGATGCTCCTTGTTTGTTGTGTGGGTGTCTATTTTTGTCAGTTAGGTTGACGGTTGGACAAGATGATCTTTAAGGTCCCTTCCAACCTAGAAGATTCTGTGATTCTGTGATAATATAAATCAACTGGTACGTGAATGAGGTGAAAATCATGTACCATGAAATTCCTCGGTTATGAAAGAATGAGACTTTGGGTAACAGATATCCTAAGCAGCATCGATCTGATCAAGCTGAACAGGACAAGGATTGTGTCCTTCCATATGCTCGTGCAGTTGCCCAACATGATGATGATAATGCCAATCCTGACAAAACCAGTCCATGCAGATGTAGCATAGAAATTTGTGAAGGGCAGATGACAGTTACAAAATTCCTCATTCATTCTGGAAATTGGACTGCCTCTAACAAATGAGGTGAGAGTATGTCCAGTGACTCTGAGCCTGACAACTGTGCAGTGGACAGCTTTTCAGCTGTTTTTCCTTTTTGGAAGACACCATTTGCTTCCATGACAAATTGCAAGCACGTTGAACATGTCCTCCAGGGCCTTGCAGGCTTTCTTTCCAGTCAAAAGGATTTCTTTCTCATGAAGAATAAAATTTATTTCTGCTATTACATAACAAAGGAGTGATATGTACATCTCAACATCAAATGCAACCGCTCTTTTATGGTCCTTGGACACGTGTGTAACATCTCATCTGAAGCCAAATAACCCCTTGAGTTGTTGGCTTGGGACTGCAACAGCTACTCTTGGGATTAAGACAGTGTGCAGTATCCATTTCATATGGATTCTTCAGTGCTTTTGAATACCTCCAAAAATCATAAAAGCTATTTCGTGTTCCACCGCTGGTGGTTAAGATGATGGTGCTATCTCCTCTCAGATGTGCTCTTCGTCCTCAGCTAATTACTGTAATTTGCCTGATAGAAGTGGGAAACTGAGAACATGAGGCATGAGGGCACAGCGTGCTCCATGGCTCGGTGGATCCGCTGTGAGACTCACTGCTCAGCAACAAAGGCTAATCAAAAGCATTTTCCTGAGTGCATCAATCAATTTCACTGGAACCTATTAAATACTAGACCAAAAATAAAAGCTTTGGTCTACAGCTTCAAAGCTCTGTGGCCCAAGTCATACTTAATATAATACAGGCCCCAAATAAGAGAAAACTAATATTTATGCCGGAAATATAACATGCTGTGGGATTTGCTTCTTTAGTGTACAGTAACTTTTTCCAGAGCCAGAATTTTATCTTCTGGTGGAAGTTACCTCCAATAAAAAAAAAAAAAAAAAAGGCAAGGCTAGTATACATCTTTTGATTAAAATAAGAGGGCTATCTCTCAACATTTGAGATGTGAGGGATTCAAAGTCTTTGACCTGCTTTGCCTCCTGCAGAGCCAGCATTTGCTGAAACAGGGGAACTGTCTCCCTCCAGAGTCTCAGCTGTGATGGATCTTTCTGTGTGTCCAGCTTCAAACACCAATGCCTCAAAAGACTGGTCTAGCTCTTAATTTGATGCAGAACTTCTAAAAATAGGTTCTCTACCATTTTATTTTCAGATGAAGTAGTCGGCTCTAGATGGATTGTGGTGGGACTAAATTCTATAACTGATATGCTTGAGACCCTACAAAACTTATGATAGGCCTATCTCAAAGTATTGAGTATGTTGTTGAGATAACTGATATGCTTGAGACCCTACAAAACTCCCTTATGATAAGCCTGTCTCAAAGTATTGAGTATGCTGTTGATAATGAATGAAAGCATGGAAAGACTAAAATGATGAAAACCAAAACCACCATGGATGTTTAAGGCAGAAACTCAAAACAGATCATATAGTTAGGGAAAACTATTTTTTCACGAGAATCCACAACTAATAATCAATAATGCTGATTGAGGACGAAACAGGCAGCAAGTCTAAACAGGGTAAAGCTGGCCTATGGAAATTGTTGGAAGAAGATATCACCAACATCGTGACTCTGTTAAGATTGCCAGAAAAAAAAAAAACACAAAACCAAAACCAAAACCCAACCTTTTCTGTTCTGCATTGCTTTCATAGTGTTATTAAAAAGAAAGTATTTATATGTGGAGCTGCTGTATGCTATCTAACCTTGCCCCACGGTAAGGACAAGTTACTTTTGTCTTCCTTTATGTCAGCTGGGGTTAAGTTGAAGCCTTAATAATGTACTAGTTTGAGTTAGAGAACTTATGCATTCCCACAGATATCTTGGACATCTATGGTCTAGTCAGTACTTTCAGCTATTTGAGCTGAAATATTTTGTAATGTGACTCCTCAGTACACTACATGAAAAATCTGTATACTTAATGGAGTAAAAGCTGGTTAAGTCACCTTAAAACATGAGATGCCATTGAAAAAAATCCTAAAAAGAAAGGAGAAATTCTTGCTTACAAGATTTGTGTTTGGCAAGAGACAGGCAAAATGGCAAATAAAAGATGAAGGTTGAGCAAAATCAGACTGCTGGGCACACTGTACCCCTTCCCAAACAGGTTATGATAAAACCAAATACATAATTACACATTTGCAGGTAATTTTCACAGAGCACGTGTGACTATCTTGTTGGATTTCAATGTACTCTACTGCTTCCTTCATTAAAGCTGTGATCTGCTGGTTGCCCAGACCTACTGAATCAGCGGTCTCCATGAATGTGCCAAACAAAGTTGTTTCATGCTGGAGCCATATCTTCCCTGGAGTCAGCACTGTCAGGCACAACATACCGAGATAATGCCAGGACAATTCTGATGCTCCACTATTCTTAGTCTTGAGTTTCGTTGCAGTTGAAACAAGTAACTCTTTACTCATGAACAGGCAATTCTTAAAAGTAATAGGAACTGTTAAAAGGAAGAACTTACAGAATCATAGAATGGTTAGAGTTGGAAGGGACTTTAAAGATCATCAAGTGGTCTTGCCCAGCATCTTTTACTTAATTTCTACTTGTTATTTGAAGCTATTTTTGCCATAGCTGTCAAGAATGGGTTGTTTGTGCATAAGTAATGCACAGCAGTTATGAGGAAGAGGCCTGGAAATGGCTCTTACTAATGTACGAAGAAGTTTGACAGCTGACATAATAAAAAGCCTGCCCCACTCGTAACCCAAGACACACAAGTTGATTTCTCAAAGAGGGATTCTGCCTTGAGCCACCAGGTGTGTCAGGGCCAGCTCTGGGATGGGGGTGAGATCCCCGCAGTTCCAAGCACTGCTTTTATGGCCTGGGGTGCCAGGGACATGGAGGGAAACATGAGGGAAGACACAAATAGTGAGAAGTGAATCACCAGTGGCTTTTCCTGCCATATACTTTCTGTTGGAGGCATTGCTTTCAGGTCCCTTCAACCATCTTTGGTAAACTTAGTTTAGTTCCAGTCTAACAAGGCTTTCTAAAGTACTTGACCACAATTAGTCTTTTCCACAGAATTATAGAATGGTTTGGGTTGGAAGGGACCTTAAAGATCATCCAGTTCCAATCCCCCTGCCATGGCCAGGGACACCTAACTCCCATCAGACCAGGTTGCCCAAAGCCCCATGAGAGGATTATTCCCTCTCCCCTCAACGTACATATGTTCACTTTTCATACGTGTTTAGAACACGCTGAAATATTTATTTGGACCGTTTAGAGGCAGCAATCTCTGAAAGCGGATGGGACGAAGGGAAGCACCAGGCCTGGGGCGTGGGTCCAGCCTTCTCCCCACTCCCTCAGGAGAGCCAAGGGGCAGCGCCGTGGGCCTGCAGAAGGAGGTGGAACTGAAAGCTGTCCCCACGCTTAGTTTTTCACAGCGGAGGGCAGAAATAAAAGGGTTTGCGGCTACAACGAGGGCGCACCCTCACCCCCCCACAGTCGCGGCCGCCATTTTAGCGCCGGGCCCCACGGGTGGCCGCGCCGCGCGCACCGCTCGCCCGTCCGCCGCGGCCGGGACGCCGCCATTTCCGCGGGGCGGAGCTGGGCCGCGCCAGGGCAGGCGATGGCGGCGACGGGATCGTTGCCCGCTGCGGCGGCGCGGCTGGGTCGCGCCGTGGCGGTCGCGCCGGAGGCCCGCTTAGAAAGCGTGCGGGGGCTGACGAGCCTGTTCCGGGAGGCGCAGCTCAGGTACCGGGGAGGAGGGGCCGACCGCGTACACGTGGGCCGGGGGAGGGAGCTCCGGCCGCGGGAAGCGGCGGGACCGGCGGGCCTGGGTGGTCCGCTCTCCCGTGTGCCGGCCGGGCGGGCTCGCTTCTGTTCTGAGGGCAGTCCTGCCCCTCTGGGTGTCTGCAGCTCGGGGGGCTGCGGGCTCCGCAGAGCTCTCAGAGGGTGCCGCCGGTTCCCGCTGTGAAGTCTCTGCCTCTGTCACGGGCTGTTGGTGTGGAGCCCGGGGCCGGTGCGGGTGACCTGCCCCTTCTCTCTTCCCTTCCTTTGAGCTGCCGTGGGGAGGTGGCAGTCCAGTCGTGTCCCTGCACCTGTGGCAGGCCCAGGGCAGGCAGGAAAGCTTTGCTTTTCTCCCAGTTCCAGGTGACAACGCTTGCCCTTCTAGACAGGGATGCTGGGGTGGGTTGTAGGCGTGGGGGTAGCTGCTGTGGGGCAGAAGGCCATGGTGAGCCCTGCAGGGCAGCTAGAAATGGATGAGACTTGCCCATGTGAGGCTCTGTTGGACGGCACTGCCCGCCTGAGGGCAAGGCTTTGGGACAAAGGTGGTGGTTGCAGGTGAAGGCTGGCCATGCAGAGGTTCAGCTGCATGATGGCCTACAGCAAGGGTTTCCATTCTCCTGGCAGGTGGGAGGCTGCATAGGTTGGCGTGAAGCTTGTGTTCACTCGTCCTAGTTGTTTGAAGGCTGGTGGGAGGCTGCATAGGTTGGCGTGAAGCTCGTGTTCACTCATCCTAGCAGTAGCTGTTTGAAGGTGATGACTCCTAGGAAAGACCAAATCAAAATTTGTAGCTTAGGTTGTTTGATTTTTTTTATTATTTTTAAATTCCCAGTACTATTATTGTTAATTAAACCCACATTTAAAACTTGGAGGTGGGGAGTGAGGGGGGAAGATGTACTTACAAATATTCTCTTGTGATCCTTGTGTGTACAGGAGACCTTATTCTGGTGTTCATATCAATTTTCCTAGGAAGAGAGGAGGACCTGTGCAAATCTCGGGCTTACATGCTGAAGTTTTCTCTGCCTGTTTCTTGCCTTTCTCCCCCAAACCAGTGCCATTGTGTCTGACAGAGGAGTTGTCAAGTTTTGTGGGTGCAGTTGGGCTCAAAGACAGACACTGTAATTACCCTTCCAGAAGGACAAGGCTGTAGTGTTAGCCAACATCCTACAGGGCATGACACAATGGATCTGAGAGCAAATTTGGTGCTAAATTTGCCAATTGTGGTATATGTTGTTGGTGGTGCTGTTGAACCAGAAGACACAACCCAGTGGATGCATGGTATTTAAAGTTGTGATATTCAGTGACAATTCTCTTGCTATTACGTGATTATTCAGTGCTTATGGAAGCAAAATAATTTAAATGTGAGTTCCAGTAGTCTGTAATTCAAAACCAAATAAGGTAAAGAAAATTATGCCCCAACTACAAGACCATGGTGTGAAATTTGTGAGACTTGAATTCAGCTGTGTGCTTTACTTGAGACTTACAGTGCTTTTCACCGGATGACCCAATTTCTTTATGTTTCCACTATTAATCAAAAAAAGGAAGAAAATTACTATTTTACCAGGAATATTGTGAAGATAAATACTTTAAAGGCTTTTTAGGTACCTTGCCTACAGGACTGGAATGGCATAAGTACCTAAAACATCGAATTGCAAACTACTGGGTTTTCATAATTCCTGTCTGGTTTCATGATTTTTGTAGCCCTAGTCTTTTGAACAGGGTTACATTAATATATTTAACCCTGTTCAACAGAAAGTTATCCTGTACAGTTCCTGTTTTTAACAATCAAATACTTAAGTATTGCAAAGAGTAACAGTAGTCTTCCTTCTGGTGTGGATACGTGAATTCTAATTCTTTGTTTTGACTTAATGAGAAATCGTGCATGTCTTCCTTGTACGAGGGGTGGGCTGTTGTATACTTTGCTTCTGCTTCCTCTTATATTCCTGCAGAATACTTGATGCTGAAATCAAGCACAGGTGGCAGCAGCAAATTGTAAGGATCCTGTCCTCAGCAACAAAACGTAGGGAACAGAAGTTTTTGGAATATCCACAGAGCAGTTCTGAATGAATGTCAAGGCCTAGTTACAATAGAAGGTATTTTTTCACCTAAAAGCTCCTAAACAGGTTTCTTGCTAAATTTATGAATTAATGCGGGAAGATGAGGGAAGAGGTTATGGAAGGAAAATACTTTCCTTCTCAAAAATGCATTTTAAATACTTGTAGCTGCTATTTTTATCTGTTTGTAAATCTTTGATGTTCCACTGGGAAGATAAAAGCATATTTATTTTTTTTTTTTAAAGCATTACTGTGGAACAGTTACCTTAAGTTACTCTTGACTGATTTCTTAATGTTAACTAAACGCTTCCTGCATAATTCCTGCTCTTCTCAGTGATTTGAGATTTTTATTTTTTTTTTTTGGTGCAGAAAGATGATTTTAATTAAAATTTCTTTGTAGCACATACTTAAACTCCAACGATGTATAAATGCTTAAGTACAAGAGTCGCATTTAAATTTTCTCTGAAGAGAATCCTGCTTTACCAAAAAGTCTTTATGTCATTCTTTCCTTGTTTGTTAGGAATAACTTTTGCTTGTTTGGTTAGGTTTTTCTTTTCTATTGCAGGAAGAGAGGAGTTATGGGCAAAAACATCTGGCTTGAGCACATTCATTTTCTTTCACAGTGTGCAAGAGAGAGATTTGGAGGCCTGTCTCCTTGCTGATACATAAAAATCTACACCTACTTCCACATCTGCAATGAGGACAGACACTTTCTTGTGTACATCACATTTGCTCTGCTAGGCCAGGCACGATTTTCACTGGTCTTGATCCACTGTGAGGTCGTAGAATAAGATACACATTTCCTGGGTCTCTGATACCTGTTGTTGTAGTAATTTAATGGTATTGTTTACATGGCTTAGTTCATGGATGTGTGATCGCTTATGATGAAGAAGGGTAGGTAGAATTTCTAATTATGCAAATGTTTAGACATTTGAGGGAGCCGCAGAACACAGGTTAATGCTGTATCATCTACTAATGTTTGATCAGAAAATTTTTAAGTTCTCTTTTAGGAAAAATTATCTGCCTGAACATATTTTGTTTAATGTTACTTTCCGTTTCATCCCACTTCTGTTAGGAGGCACTTCTCAACCTTATGTCTCAGATCCTAATTTTCCTGTTTAATTTTGAGTACACGACAAGTCTCTCTAGGGTTCAAGGAAGCTGCATCTGGATTTTCCTTTTTTTGACTCTGATCAGAAGTATTAGATGAGCAAATTTATTGAGCTTTCCTGTAGCAATGCCATAAGCACCCTTTGGTGTGACGTTGTTTCATCAGCATGTAGTATCAAAACTGAGTTAGCAATGTTTGTTATATGTGGCCCTCATCTGCTTTCTGTACATAAAATCAGGGGAGAGAGAGTATGTAAGTAGCTGTAGTTTGGAAACGTTGTGTGTATCAGTGTGACAGAGCATCTGCAGATGTGCCCGTGGATCCTGGGGAGTTTGATGCAGCAGTATCAGCTCTCTTATCCATTCCTATAGTATTTGTCTATGTGCTTATGGTTTTGTAGCATTGTTTTCCTAGGTCTTGATACTCTTAAGTGACATGGTATTTTGTGTTGTGTAGTTTTCTGCTGAAGTACACAGTTGGCTTTTTCCTTCTGCTTTGATTCACACACTTTCAAATAACGCTAGTGCAGCCATGGGTGTTCTTCATGACTCTCTCTCTGGTGAAATTTGTGGCAGGCTATTTTATAACGGAGCTTTTGATACCTCCTCCTTCTGAAACATCTAGTGCTAGGCATCTAAACTACATTCATTAATTAATTCAATTACTGATTCTTAAAAAAACATGCAGTGTCATGTATAATCGTGCTAGCTGTATGCATGAGGGAGAATTTTTGTTTGGTTGGTTTTTTGGATTCCACAGAGCTGTTGGCAGGCTGCAGGAATGCTAAGGCAACACAACTTCCTCACGGCCACTTCTATGAAAAAGCTGGTTGGATGACTGTGTGCATGTATTTGCTCTTTCTACTGGAAAGACCTTGGAATACTAAGGAATAGTTACAGATTGATGCAGAAACATCTTTGGGTTTACAATAAGAAGCGTAACTGCCATAATAGGATGCTTTTTGATAGTGGCACATTTTTTTTCACTAGAAATTTATTTATTTCAGAGAAATGGCAGAAGAAAGCATATTTCGGAATCTCCTGGAAATCCTGATGAGTGCCTCAAGTGAAATTGAGCAAGTCTGCAAGGACTCCTGTGAACTGGTAGATCTTGACACCTGCCTGCTGCTCACAGCAGAGTGTTTCAGATGTCTGAGGAATGCCTGTGTTGAGTGTGCCAAGAATCAACATGTCGTAAGGTATAGTTCTGATCCATTTTAACCCATACAAAAATATAACCTTCTGATGTTTGTGTGGTTTTATATAGAGATTCTTATTTTACACTGCTGTGTTAGTTGATTTATTAACTGGTATTTCCTGCTTGATGGAATCCCTTGAAATGAAGTATGCAAGGAACAAAAATAGCAGACCTATTTGTAGGTCAGAGTTTGGGGCAATAATAGAACAAAGTGTTTGTCTTTAGTGCAAGTTGATTGTGCAGATGATGTAAGCCTTTTGAAGTCTGACTGTAGAACTATCCTTTTTTTCTCTTTCATTTCTTTAATTTTTTGGATAATGTAATGAATAAGTAAATAGTCTTAATTATCAGTTACAGCATTAGTATGATTTTTTTTTTCCAAGGTACATTTAGATCTGTCTGGCACTCATAGCGAAGTATAGCGTGTAGAATTGTGCCTATCCACCCTGACACACGTACAGGTAAACTGGTATTAATGGTTAATAAGAAGTCAGTCTGGCTCCTTAAGTTATTTAGCATCTCTTTTTTTGCCTGCATCTGTTGCAACATTGAGGGCCTGGGGTGCAACTGTCTGGAGTTATGGAAAACTTGGTAGTCTACCTGCTGTTTAGAAAAAAAAAAACACCAAACCACTAAAAAAACCCCCAAACCAAAAACACTCCCCACCCAAGAACAACCCAATCAACCAAAAAGCACCCCCCACCCTCCCCCTCCCCCCAAAAAAAACCCCAAAAAACCCCCAAACAACCCTGTTACAAGTTTGTTACATCATGAAGAATTATTGTGGAGTACAGTCTTAAAATTTGGTTTCTTGGGACTGGTCACATTTGGTTTATTGAACTAAATATGAATTTGACATGGGCCAAAGTTGAAACTTCTATGCTGGCACAGAATTAATGCCACAAGAGTTGCAAGGCTTTTCATAAAAGGCATTAGTTTTAGAATAAGGTAAATCTAAGATGAGGCTCTTAACTTTTTGTTCTTGGCAGTGCTAGCTGTCACTGTGGGTCAAGGAACTGATCCGACAGAAAAAACTGATATTAATGGTTAATAAGAAGTCAGTCTGGCTCCTTAAGTTATTTAGCATCTCTTTTTTTGCCTGCATCTGTTGCAACATTGAGGGCCTGGGGTGCAACTGTCTGGAGTTATGGAAAACTTGGTAGTCTACCTGCTGTTTAGAAAAAAAAAAACACCAAACCACTAAAAAAACCCCCAAACCAAAAACACTCCCCACCCAAGAACAACCCAATCAACCAAAAAGCACCCCCCACCCTCCCCCTCCCCCCAAAAAAAACCCCAAAAAACCCCCAAACAACCCTGTTACAAGTTTGTTACATCATGAAGAATTATTGTGGAGTACAGTCTTAAAATTTGGTTTCTTGGGACTGGTCACATTTGGTTTATTGAACTAAATATGAATTTGACATGGGCCAAAGTTGAAACTTCTATGCTGGCACAGAATTAATGCCACAAGAGTTGCAAGGCTTTTCATAAAAGGCATTAGTTTTAGAATAAGGTAAATCTAAGATGAGGCTCTTAACTTTTTGTTCTTGGCAGTGCTAGCTGTCACTGTGGGTCAAGGAACTGATCCGACAGAAAATGTATATGCTTGTTTATAAATTTCTGTGGGGTGTGCATTCAGAAGCCAGACTGGCTTCCTTATTGTAACTTACTGTAGTTCCATAGTTACTGGTGTTAACAGAAAGGGGGAAACAGAATTGTGTGGCTGGGAGTTGGTTGGATTGCTCTTTTCAGTAGCAGGACAAATGCAACCTGATTACAGTTATCTGAATTCTATTAGAAAGTAAAAACTAATATCCAGCCTGCTTCTGAGCACAAATGAACACAAACGTGCTCTGCGCTGGTTATACCTGTGCTGCATACTTGCCCTCACTAGGCAGTTAGCATAACCCTGCTCATTTAGGAAGCTAATAATTATAGTTTCCTTCAGACTGCAGGAGGGGGAAGGCCTGAGTGGACAGAAAGTTACAACAACATTTCTAGCAGTGAAGATCTCAGTGCGGTCACTCATTGGACACTGTTTTGGCTTTGTAGCAGCATAAGGATTTATGCTCCTTTTAATACTCCACTGGGTGCTTTGAGCCCACTGCGTGTTAGCCAGGTTTGTGTTGATTTTTCAACAGCAGCAAACGCACAACTTGTTTAGGAATTAAATGTTCTGAATGGTCAACAGTTGTGAACGGAAGGAAAAGTATGTGCCTTTGATGTTGAAGTGTGAAACATTCAGATATTCCAAAAAAACCTCCAAACTACAATATTTTTGATCACAATAGAAACTGATTGTTTCTAGGAGGGAATGCAAAGCTAGTAAACACATGGATTGTCTAATGGCTTTTAAATTATTGGGGAACAATTGCTTTGCTCCTTCCCAGGTCAGTTTCTCTGCTTCATGTGCTGTTAAGAAGTTTGGGGTCTGAAGGAATGGGAAATGTTTTGATTTTAATAGACTGTGCATATACCAGGGTGCATGTGTGTATTACATATTTATAAATGTATATTTGGCTTCTCTTCTGTGTTAGAACTCAAGAAGGAGTATACTGAAGGAATGGGAAATGTTTTGATTTTAATAGACTGTGCATATACCAGGGTGCATGTGTGTATTACATATTTATAAATGTATATTTGGCTTCTCTTCTGTGTTAGAACTCAATGAGAAAGAGTATGTGTTTGTCTAGAAAAATCTGTAGAAGAAAAATATTCAGCATTCATATGTGATGATATGATACGTTTTTTATTTGGCTTCTCTTCTGTGTTAGAACTCAATGAGAAAGAGTATGTGTTTGTCTAGAAAAATCTGTAGAAGAAAAATATTCAGCATTCATATGTGATGATATGATACGTTTTTAAGTAACTAATGCACGAGTGTAGAGGTTTGGTAGAGATGGCATTGCTATGTTCTGAAGTTTCAGCTTCTCTGTCTTGGCTGATCCCTTCTCAAAAAGCTTAACTACTAAAGTACAAACAAGTTAAAAGCTGAACAGTTCATCTGGTTATACTGAATCCTTTTACTTTCATTTCTTATTCCTGTTGCATGCACATCCTGGCATGTACATTATTTACCTCCAGGATTGCTGATCTTTGCCTATAGAATTATTTTGGTGTTTTTCATTCCAAATGGCTTCGCTTCATTGGTTTATCTTCACTATCACCGTGTTCTTCCATATTTGGAAGTGTTCAAAGTCAGGTTGGATGGGGCTTTGAGCTACCTGGTCTAGTGAAAGTTGTCCCTGCCCATGACTAGAAGATTTTTAAATCTCTGTTTCAGCCCAAACCTTTCTGAGATTCTACCTATGATTCCTTCTCACTGAAGAAAGGGTTAATGATTACTTTACCTTTCCTGCTTCCCTCTGAGAGTTTTGTATGTTTTCCTTTGAACTGGCCATCACAGGATGATAGAGGTTGGAAGTGACCTCTAGAGATCATCTATTCCAACTCCTCTGCTAAAGCAGGTTCACCTGGAGCAGGTTGCACAGGATGGCATCCAGGTGGGTTTGGAATATCTCCAGAGAAGGAGACTTCACACCTCTCTGGCAGCCTGTTCCAGTGCTCTGGCACCCTCAGAGTAAAGAAGTTTTTCCTCATGTTCGGATGGAAAAATACACAGTATAATGACAGTCACTAATCACTTTGGTATTTAAAATCCTCAAAGTTTATTACTAAGTAACACACATGGATGCTTTCCTTGAACACTTGAACTTTAAACAAAGCAAAGTTTTTACACAAATAAAGCTGTTTAAATTACAGGAATAACCTGCTAATTTTTAACATCTGATTTAGAAGAATAGCAAAAAGAGAGGAAGGGGTATTTAGCTCTGAAGGTACTGTGTCCAAAATTATTAATATGGAGGTAGATTCAGTAAACCTGTTCCTTCTGATGGCAGTAGAGTGGCTACTGATAGGCACAGTTAAGTAGGAGAAACGACTTTTTATTTCAGAGTTTCTGAAAATTTTGAAGGCTTGCTGTTAACTTCATTGAAAAACTTTATTTAAATGTATTTCATATCAAGTGATTTATTATTTTTTTTTCTGATTTAATGATAGGAACTTGGGTCTCATCTCTACAGCTGTCAATTTGATCAAATTGCTTCATGGAATACAAATCAAAGAAGAATTGTTATTAACTGGTAAGGCTGTGGATTTTATCAAATATATAGTGTCCACGATATTTTTTTACACGGGGAGTCTTGTAGTGATGTGATGGCACCTTACGGATGCATTTTTTTAAATAAATAAGCTTAATTGTTTCTTGAATTGCAGTTAAGAATTGGGACGCCTTCTGTTATGCTGCTTGAAAAAATTCTCAGCCCCCAGTCTAGGCCAATTGTATTTTCCCATAACCATTCCCTATAGGTTGTTAAAGGAAAGATATGTGGAAAGTTCTTTAAAATTAACCAGGATATTTGAATGACAAAAAGGAAAATTTGCTGTAATACCTCCATTCAAAATATGTTCTGCTGTTTCACTGTCTTTTTATTTGATCTGCGAACATAGTGAAATGAAAAAATACTCTTTTTTTTTTATTTTTTTATTTTGATGACACTTAAAATAATTTATCTGATTCCAGGAAACAAATTTTGGCTGTGACTTTTTAAAATTATCTTTTAATTTTCATTTCTATGCTATAGTTGCTGGCCAGTCAGGGTAATACCTGCCAAGAGCTAAGTACTGATTTGAATAGTGTTCACATTTCCTTGATGGATGAGTTTTTTCTTTTCTTTTCATGGAGTGAGGAGAAAATCTGACCATAGCATCCTTCCTCCTTAATGGTGGTTATCGCTACCGATTTCTATCCAGCTTACTTTGCTGGATATTAGGGCATTTTCAGTACATATCTGTATGTACATAAGCTGCTAATGGTGGTTATCGCTACCGATTTCTATCCAGCTTACTTTGCTGGATATTAAGGCATTTTCAGTACATATCTTTATAAGCTGCATTTCACTGTGTCTGTATGTGGAGCTTGATACAGGGCATTGAACCCCAGTCTTTACTGTCTGTGGTTGCATAGAGTAGGGAACATCTGGTTTCTCTTGCTACTTTTATTTCTTTTCAATCCCTTTACTTGGATGAGGTTTTTACTGGGTTCCTGTTGCTGCTTTTCTATCATTTTGTGAAAGCAATTGAAACTACTGTCACACAGTAACTTGCCCTCAGACACCTTTATGAAGCTGGGAAAGAGCAGTGAAGTCCAAGATACAGTTTTGTTCCTTTTGCTGCTATATTTGGCTGAAAATGAAGCCTTTCAGGCATGTGACAGTATTATGCTTAAGCCCTGTTCACTCCTTCACCCATTGCTGGAGTCCTCCTTCCAGGGAAGGATCACTGATGCTAGCACAGTCCTTCAGGGTGGGAGGACCAGAACTAAAGCCTGTGTGTGGCAAAAAGAGGACTTGTTCAATGACCATAAAGAGGAGGAACTGATAGCACACACAAGTGACTCTTAAGCTGTGTCATAGGGTTGGACAGGGAGGGCTGGCATGGAGGGCAAGAATGTCTTGCCCCGTGGTTGCGAACCCCTTTGTAGACCAGTAAGAGAAAAGGAAAAGCAATGGGAACCTGGCATTATCTGTACTCAAGACTTGACAGCAGTGGGCTTGAAAAGGCTGTCCTGGGGCAGTGGACTTCCCATCTTCAGCTTATTCAAAGCATCAGGAACTGTGTTGTGAGAATCTTTCAGTGGTGCCTCCCAACATGTGCAGGAGAGTGAGCAGGATGTACCCCTTGTTGGTTATGTGCATGGCCTGAGGTTTCCCCTTCAGTCCTGTGCCTCCTGACCCCCTCCTTGATGGGTTATCATATGCATGTGTGCTGTTCTTCAGCTCCTGGGATCTGAAGAACCAGCAGTGAATGTTACTCAGCAAAAAAGAAAGGAGAGGGTGGAACCCAGTAATTTGATGACCTGCTTCAGACTCCTTTTCCTAGCCAGAGGATTTTGTAAAGTCTCTTTTTATTGCCATTGAAAATTAAGGCAGCATTGACCAGAAGGTTTTTAGCAATATTTCAGTACAAAGTGTTTTGTCACTGTTACTCTACATAGCCATTCAACAAATGAGTTTCAGTTATAACTAAAATTTGATGTGTTGACCCAAGATAGATGGTTTGTTTGATACTGTGTGTAGTATTTACCTGGTCGGGGAAACATCTGTGATGAATGTGGCTTAGGTATTCCATTTACATTAGTACAACAAAAATTTCTAGACAAGCAAGTGATGTTAACTCCTTGCTAAGTGATCTGATGAACTTTGTGCCTAGAGCACCAGGTCCTTCTGCAAGGGTGTACCCCAGAAATTAACAGTTGCATTCAACTGTGGATCATTAGTCATATTTGCAAAAGCGAGGCAAATTGCTAAATTGGACTTGGATAGCTCTGTTAAAACAAAAGAAGCCCATGAAATTAGTAAATGTTACCATGCTTATGAACTGTATTTCTGCTTCATGGTTCTCCTCCTCATGTTTCACACAAGAAATCAGGTCACAGGGCTAGAGTATCATGTATATTTTATTCTAGATAATTAGGTGTTAAGTGGAATATTTCAAGTTGTTCATTTGGATATGTGTCCCGTTTCCTCCTTTAAATGACTGCTTGAATTTGATGATCCCTCTTGGTGCCTGTTTATATCCTTAAGGTATTTTAAATACCTTCATGTCACTTCCATAGCAACAAAATACAAGGGTAAAAAAAGTAATGCTGTATTGCAGAGTGAACAATACTAAATAATGTTTCAGTTTATGTCCCGGTGAAAAATTCCCGGAGCAAATCATTGTAGGCTAAATAAATTTGAAGTTCCAACATTGCTATATTTATGAAGATAAGAGATTGAAGCTTCTTTATGCAGACTTGGTCAGACACTGAAATAGACTGCCCAGGGAGGGGGTTGAGTCACCATCCCTGAATGTGTTTAAGAGTCGTTTAGATGTGGTGTTGGGGGATATGGTGTAGGGGAGGACTTTGTAGAGTAGGGGAGATGGTTGGACTTGATGATCCCAAGGGTCTCTTCCAACCTGAGTGATTCTATGGTTCTATGACTGAAAAATTATTTTCACCTGCTCTGCGGTTATGTTTTCACTGTCTTATGCATTGGTAACTGTTGACACTGGTAAGTTTTTGTAGGAATGTTTAGTGTAGTATGGTTTGTAATGGATAAAACCAGAAATGAAATAAAAGTGTATATTCTCTGGCCACTACTGTGACCAGAGTGGTGGTTCTATGGGAGGGTATGAACTGCCCGTTCTAACAATATATTAGTGATGAAAGGGGAAAAATAGGAGGTGCTGTGCAAAGCGGTGTGATTAAAAACCGTTGCTAAGCTTCATTGAATTAAATCCAGACTCCTTTCTTTTGCATCTTCTCTGCTAGGAGAAATACTTTTTAAAGTAGCTTATCTTAGGCCCAGGTGTTACATACACGGATAATTTGGCTCCTCACTTCAGTATATTTACTGACATAACTCTACTCTTTTCAGGATGGTTTTGGTTTTTTTTAATGCTATTAAAAATGAGTTAAATTCCTGTATGCTTGTAATGTACTTTTCCCAGCCAGCTGTGGAAAAGCTGTTGTTTTGAGTAAATGATATGCCACTAGGGCAATGGCCAGAAAACCCGAAGGTGAGTTAGTATGTCTGTCCTGGAATAGATCTTTTAGACTTCAGATGGGTTTAAAAATAACTAGTTAATTCATACATATGGCATATAAAGATTCTCCAACCCCACATGCAAGCCAGCCATCACTGTAATAATAATCTTCTTTTTTTTTTTTAAATACATACATTAAAAGAACATTTTTAGACCTTTCCCATATGGTGTTGCTACAGGTAGCTGTTCCTACTTTTTCTCCTTTCTTATGTCCCAAGTTGGTTTTGGTTGCATTCCATAGCCTAGTTTCTCTTCTTGGCATTACTTACAATACATAGTAGTAATTAATCTTGAGCAGTTCATGCTCTGTGGTACTTAGAGAAGGGAGCCTGCTCTAAGGATTTACCCAGTGAAAGCCAACCGCTAGATGAGTGCAGGGAGATGATGGGCAGTGATGTTTAGCAAGTGTTTAACAATTCGTAGCCCTTCTTCTGTGCAGCATCAAGACTGATTTGTGCCAGATAAGTCATGCATACTTGTAAGTGTGCTCTGTTTTCTTATTGCTCCAGCAGTCCTCTCTCCTCCTCTCTGCAAGAGATAGAACTTCCCAGTCGAGGGATGGGATGTCATCCAAAAGGACCTGGACAGGCTGGAGAGGTGGGCCCAGGTGAACCTCATGAGGTTCAACAAGAGCAAATGCAAGGTTCTGCACCTGGGCCGGAACAATCCTCACCACCAATACAAACTAGGGGGTGAGGGATTGGAAAGCAGCCCTGAGGAAAGGGACTTGGGGGTGCTGGTGGAGGAGAAGCTGGACATGAGCAGGCAGTGGGCAGCTGCAGCCCAGAAGGCCAATCCCATCCTGGGCCACATCAAAAGAAGCGTTGCCAGCAGGTCCAGAGAGGGGATTCTGCCACTCTGCTCTGGTGAGACCTCACCTGGAGTATTGTGTGCAGGTCTGGAGCCCTCAATATAAGAAGGACATGGACCTGATGGAGAGGGTCCAGAGGAGGGCCACGAGGATGATCAGGGCGATGGAGCACCTCTGCTCCGAGGACGGGCTGAGGGAGCTGGGGTTGTTCAGCCTGGAGAAGAGGAGGCTCCGGGGAGACCTAATAGCAGCCTTCCAGTACCTGAAGGGGCCTACAGGAAGGCTGGGGAGAGCCTGTTTAGAAAGGCCTGCAGTGACAGGACGAGGGGCAATGGCTTCAAGCTGGAGGGGAACAGATTTAGACTGGAGATGAGGAGAGGGTTCTTCACTGTGAGGGTGGTGGAGCACTGGAACAGGTTGCCCAGGGAGGTGGTTGAGGCCCCATCCCTGGAGATATTCAAGGAGAGGCTCGACGAGGCCCTGGGCAACCTGGTCTAGTTGGGGGTGTCCCTGCTGACTGCGGGGGGGTCGGACTAGATGACCTTTGGAGGTCCCTTCCGGCCTGGGCAATTCTATGATTCTAAGTAGAGAAAAATTCAAGGGCTGTACTTCTTGGACAGTATCCAAAAACTGGACTTTCACCTCAGTGTTCTTAAAACTATAAACACTGAAAGTGGATGA